GTTCTAATAGTTTTTCCACACATTTCATTTTCTTTAAAGCCTATCTAATTTTAATTTTACTAATACGTCGATAAAAATAAAAATCTATATTTTTATTTAGAGTGCTAAAATCATTAAAATCAGTTGTATTTTTATAATATTCATTAATAAGCTTAGTAAAATAATTCATCCACCTTTGTTGAATATCATTTTCTAAAAAAAAAACACTTTGATTTTTATCTTTAATGCAGTTCACTTGAACTGAATCTTTACTACTCCTATATCTTTGTTTGGCTAACTTTATATATATTTCACCATCATTGGTATCTAATATTGATGAGGACATCCGACCATAAAGGGTTTACCAGTGATGTGGCCGACGGATCAAATCAACGGCGATGAGTTTGGGAGAGCGAATCGATCCCAATAATAGTCTTCAAGTCTTCTAATATGCGCTGCCTGCTGATTAAGCAATTTAATTTAATTTTAAAAATATTTTTATTCCCCTAAAAAATCCGGCAACCTTCCGGCATCCCCTGCCCGCGAGGGGAGATTGGGGAGAGCACTTGTCATTTTGGCTCGACTCTACTGGATCAAATCAACGGCGAGGAGTTTGGGGGAGCGAATCAACCCCAGCAATGTCTTCAATTCTTCGATCCACTCTACTGGATCAGATTGTCGGCCAAGGGCTTCAGGGGACCGAACCAACCCCGGGACTTTATTTAATTTGCTTTAGTTGCAGTGCCTGTTTTATAATAATATAATATAATATAATATAATATATATTTAATATCATATACACACACACCCCAAACAGAGAGCAGGAGACGGAGCCTGATTAGGCTAGGGCACGACGACAGAGGTCACGCACGAGGGATAGGCACACCAGTTTCGTCGACGACGGGTTTGGCCAGAGGCGGCAAGCCTACAGGTGTTCGACCGTCTAGGACACAGTGACGGGAGACAGAAGCGAAGGTTGGGTCAGCCTTGGTTGTGGAAGAAGCGGCGTCGGAGGTCGGAGTGCAGAGGAAGAAGTGGCATCGGAGGTCGGAGGCGGCAAGCCGGCGGGGGTTTGTGAGCTCAATGCAAGTAGAAAGATTGGAGGCCAGCGGCTGGTTGGCAGCTTCTGTTCCTTCGTCCGTGAGTTCAAAGTCATGAGAGCAGGAGATCGGAGGCCGGCGGCTGGTTCAAAATTTGACTGGAGTCAAAAGATAAGTTTTGAACTTGACTCCTTCCTTCTATGTGTGTGTATGAGAGTCCCAATGCTTGCACTTTCTGTTTGTGTGTTCAGATCATGAGAGATCGAATGGTTTTGAGAAAGTGAACGACGGTTGTGAAATGTGGGATCGTGGGTGGTTGGCAATTAGAGGTCGTGAGGTTTACCAGCTTGTTATGCAGTTAAGGGTCAACATTCCCAAGTGCTTGGCCCTCCCCAAGTCTCCCGATCTTCCCTTGCCCTTTCATACCCAAAACCGCCTTCGAATTCCCCTCTCCTTTCAAAATCAGCACCTCGGCGGCCATAATATCCCTCCATGCGTTCCCATTCAGCACCCCTTTGCTCCTGCCCCCCATACCCATGCCTTTCCCCAAACCTACCTCATATATCCACCCTCTAGAAAGGCTCCAGATGGGGTCTTCTCCTTTCTCCCTCTACAATCTCCACCTCGTCTTCTTCCTTATGAATTTCAGAATTGATATTCTTTCTTTCTGGCCCTTTTGCCCATGAAGCCGCCGTTTGGTTGTGGATTTCCAACATCTTCTTCATTATATTCCGTAAATCAGCTACTTGTCCTTCCATGGAGGAAATTTTGTTCTCCACCATTGTCTTTATCTGATTCATCTCGCCTTCCAAGCGTTCCTCCAACACGTTTACCTTCTTGGCCGCCATAAAACAAAATTTCTGAATATTGCTCCCCAAAATCATCAAAAATTCCTTCTTCCGAATAAAATTTGCCTCTGAAATTTCAATAAAATTAGTCTACAACGGTCTCAAGATGGCTCTGATATCAATTTGATAGGAAATACTTGAAGATCTCAAGTAAACCATAACAATATTGGTGAAAAAAACGAGAAATCTCCACAAAATCCAATAGAAAATGGAAGAAAATAACAATATAAAATTGATCCTCTATTCGAGTGCAGGATCCATCTCTCCCAAATCTCTAGACGCCGCTAGAGCCCAAAAGAAACCTAAACCTAAGAGATCTCAAATATTTGCCAAAATTCAAGATATCCTAACCCTAGGAAAACAAACTATTTAATGCATAAATCCAAAAGGAAATCTCTAAACAGTCCCTACATTCAAATTTCCCTCCTAACTCTCTTCAAAAACTTACCTAAAATGCTCTGTCTGGGTGGTCGGATTGTGCAGGAGGTGGACCGGTCTAACATAAATCCTCATTTAATTTGTAATGGAGATGGTTTATAGAGTGCAACCATCACTCTTTTGCTATTGATAACCATTTTATGCCATAATATTCCATGAGAGCCATCAAACAACAATATAAATGAAGGCATCATCCACCAAAATGTTGGAGGATGAAGCGCATGCTATGGATGGGTATTGCCCATTGTAGAAACTGTCATGGTTGCCAAAGCTAAGCAAGGGGAATTGATTTGTGGCAGGATCGGTAAAAAAGAAATGTGAACTATAGAAGAAAAAAAAAATCTGTAAACAACTTCTCAAAAACAAAGGCAATAATTAAGTCATCATATTATTAATTTTACTTCAATCCTACAAACTAGCTGTGAGATTGTGTATTATTTTGTATAATGATCAGGATAATCGGAATAGGGTTATGCTGCCTCATTTTACAATTATTTTTATTTGCCTTTTAACGTTCCTTGGTTTTGAAGTGTTCTCTATGAAATCATTTACCTTTCTTTAGGGCTGTAATCGTAAACTTATGTCCTGTTACGATTCTTGGGCACTTAATGCAGCCCTTTTTATGAATAAATTTGTTTACATAAATCTGCAGAGTCTATCTGGGCACACGACTTCAGTTCAATCTGTAACTTTTGATTCAGCTGAAGTATTAGTTCTGGCGGGAGCGTCTAATGGTACGATAAAGCTTTGGGACTTGGAAGAAGGGAAGAGTGAGTGCTATGCAATTGGTTTATGCAAGTTTCATTGGTTCATTAGTCTATCTAATAATAGCAGATTGTAACAAATTTTGGAGCATTACGTAATTCTAGACTCCACCTGTTAAACACAAGATCATCTTATCTTGTTTCCTTGGTTTCCGCTAAAGCCTATTCTTTGATATTGTTGCTATGCAATTGGTTTATGCAAGTTTCATTGGTTCATTAGTCTATCTAATAATAGCAGATTGTAACAAATTTTGGAGCATTACGTAATTCTAGACTCCACCTGTTAAACACAAGATCATCTTATCTTGTTTCCTTGGTTTCCGCTAAAGCCTATTTCTCTATATTGTTATACTGTAATAATTATTATTGATGAAATTAAATTCTCTTTTACTTATTTGATTAGTTTGTTTTTGTAAGTGTAGATGTACGATCCGTTACTGGGCATAGATCCAGCTGCACCTCTGTTGAATTTCATCCATTTGGTGAGTTCTTCGCATCTGGTTCTATGGATACTGATCTCAAGATATGGGATATTAGAAAGAAGGGTTCCATTCATACTTACAAGGGTCATACACGAGGAATTAAAACAATCAAATTTACTCCTGATGGTCGGTGGGTTGTCACTGGAGGTGAAGACAACATTGTTAAGGTAGTTTACTCGACTTTTTTATTCCAATCATAAACTTAATAATTAATCTAAGGGTATTCTTATTTATGTGATCAGTTATGGGATTTGACAGCAGGGAAGCTTCTGCATGATTTCAAGTTCCATAAAGGAATGATAAGCTGCATAGATTTTCACCCACATGAGTTTCTTCTTGCAACAGGTGTGCTTCCTTTCTCAGGAATGATCTGCGCTCTCATTGTTTATTTCGTCTTTTTAGCTGTTCTCGTTCATGTTTTGTCTGTCTGGTTCTTATACTTTCGTATTACTTTCTTTTTTAAAGGCCAATGATTACATTAGCATGTACATTTTTCTTAGTTTAGAAGTAAACCTTTACAAATTTGTTCATGAATGGAGGATTTAGTTGTTGCATGTAATAGGCAAGTAAATGATTACATGTGCATGAGTAGAATTTTCAATTTTACACGTAATACATAGTTTTTTTTTTTTTCATTTTAGAGAGTCGCCTTAGATGGTTTGGTCATATAAAATGGCGACCTTCCAATGACCTGGTTAGGAAAGTAGATGTATTAGATTTGGCTTATGTTAAGAAAGATAGAGGTAGACCTAAAAAGACTTGGTTAGAAAATATTATAAATTATTTTTCTTTATTATATTTAAATGAGAATTTGACTTTTAACAGGATACAATGGAGGAAATGATTTATGTAGCCAACCCCACGTAGTGGGATAAAGACTTAATGATAATGTTGTATTGATTTTTCTTTCTTTTTTGTGACTAATTGATGTGTGGTATTATGAATACTGCTTTTTAATGCTAAATTTGTCATTTAATTGAGTTCATCAGAAGATTTCACCAAACAAACCAGCCTTGCCTTTGGAAGCATTTTTGACATCTAGCTAATGTTTAAACGATTTTCAGGATCTGCAGATCGAACTGTGAAATTTTGGGACTTGGAAACATTTGAGCTGATTGGTTCATCAGGTCCTGAGGTATGCATGGTATATATCTATTTCAGGTTAAGGTTTTATGGTCCTTTAAGTAGTGAAAGTGGTGAAGATGCATGGCTTCTTTGTAATTTAACATAATAAACGCTAGCTACCTCATCAAAATTGAGGAATACAAGAATGATTGATGCAAGCTAAGATGACCACGAGATGGTTACTCCAAGTGTACTCCTTGAATTGTGGGAGCATCAAACTTTTCATACATTTTTGTCCTCATCCTTCTTGCTAAAACTTGCTCTTTATTCCTTACCAAGTCAACTTTTTAAAATCATGATATGGTTAGGAATTAAGTGAGAATGAGGATTGAAATTGTTAAGAAGATTGAATGGATAAGGAGGATTTATAAAGCTTACCTCAAATAGCTGAAATAAGTCTGATGATATTGTTAGGGAAAAATTAAAGAAAAATCAAGAAGATTATGGAAGGCGTCAAGATCACCCGTGTGTACAAGGATGCTATCATATTGCTTTTGTTGTAATTACAGGAGGTGACAGCTTTTTACTATTAGAAGGTTAGGGCGCCCAATAAAGCAATGATGTTGCATAGATATACTCTTAGAAAGTTAAGAGTAAATGGCTCTACCATTGATTAATCTTTTAGGCATGAGCTTGCTACCACCTGAAACGTCTTACCATCTCAATGCAGGCTTGGATTAGCAATAACATGGAAATAGTCTTCAACACGAACCAAACTTCACACAACCTTAATAATCTCTCACTGGGAGAATGATCATTTTGCTAACCACCACCTCCATGCAATTAGTTCTCTTATATAACACTGAAATTTAGTGCTACTCAAGAATCAATTATACAATTTATAGTTTCTTTTAATTGTTGGAATGGCCAACATGTATGCTGCTTTGTCCGTACTATTGATTTCTACCTGTGTCATGGTTATATCAATTATCTACAAACAAATCCTACTTTTAACTCATTGTAATTTATTCATGTATGAAAGAGGGCATTCTTTGCAAGGATGAAGTGCACTATGATGAACATAGAGGACGATACTAATTCATTGTTTCATTCTAAATTTCTTCAAAAAACTCTTTAGCCATAACATTTTTGGTTTGCTTCATTGACATGAGTATATCCAACTTAATTAGTTGAATGTACAACAATCTTCTGTAGTTCAACACTGAACTCACAATTGGTTCACCCATAGTGTAGATATTGAGTTGTACTCCTATTATTTACACATCACCCAAGTCAAAGTCTGCAAAACATTGCAGGAGTAGTGTTTTCTATGTTGAAAAAGATAGTCATATCTTTGCTTGAACTAAGATTTTGAAAGATATAGTTGTCAGCCTCCCATTATTGATAAGCCATGTAACTAATTACATCTGCCGCAATGTATGCTAGATCAAGTGATGTGATACAATCAAGAATTGCACGTGAAATTTATAAAGAATGACAAAGCATACTAGTGTAAGATTAGGATATCGTAAGTTAAGGTTCAAGAGTTGTCCATTGTCAAAATTGTTATGATAATCAATTACAAACTAGAGGTTTAGACACAATTAGCGATAGATATTGAAATTATCACAATAAAGCAAATGCGGAGTAAAGTAGAATCCCACGGCTAATATTTAGAAATGTCGCAATGAGTTACCTTGCTCACTCACACTCAAGTTGGGCTTAGCGGGAGAAAGTCTTTAGCAAACCCAACGATGCCATGAGGACGGTAGCAACCCCAACGGCCTTGAACCACAGAAAGGTTGACGGTGAAGAGGATGGTGGGACTGATCGACTGTTGATGCTCCAATCGTAGTTTGGAAGTTGACGGTCGATGACGTTAGCAAGAGTCGGGACAACTCGTTCCAAGTACTCTCCAATGGTGGCGTCGTCTTCAAATCCCACGTCGAAAAATGGAGATCTTAGAATGTTGAGGCTTCCGTCGGCGTTGAATACAAGGCCCCACTCAAACTTGGGATCCGCCATGCATGCTTGGCGTAAGAAAGAACTCCGAGGGGAATAGAAAGACGTGGTGGTGAGGGAGAGCCCTTGCGTTTTGGAGGAGGAAGAGGGAGGGGAAGGGGCCGGCGGGATTCTCAAGGGGAGAGGGTGAGGCCGGCTAGTGCAAGGAGGAGGGAGCTAGGGTTTGGGAGAAACTAGGTTTAATGGAGAGTGTAGTAGATTAATAAAAAACTGAAAGTTAATTACAGTTTTGATTAAAATAGAGAGGGAAACGTCTTGGATTTTGAATTTGAAATCCAAGGGAATTATGACATTGATTGGGGAATTAATGGGAGAGACAAGGAGAGGGAGGCCGGCGGTTTCAATAGAGGAGGGGAGGGAGTTTCCAAACCAATCCTGAAATAAATTTCAGGATTTGAAATTTTGGGAGGGGAAATTTATTGAAATCAATTTGATTTCAAAATGGGGGAAGGGATTTATGTAGCAATTAATGAGGATCATCCCCCTTAGGGGCCGACGGCATGTGAGAGGGGGAGAGGGAGAGATCAAAGGGAAGAGGGTTTCCAATTTAGGGTGATGACGTGGAAATAAATTTTAAAGACTCCAATTTAATTTAAATTGAAATTGGAATTCATCAAGGCAACTTTCTTAAATTGGATTTCCAAATTATGAAAGAATTTGAAATTTGAAATTCAAATTTCAAATTTGAAATTTGCGGAAGGAGGGGTTGGACGGGTGGGGGAAGTCGCCGGCAAGGTGGCCGGCCGGGGCCGTGGGAGTGGCCGGCAGCGGGCTTCCAAGGGGGCGGCGACAATAAGGGTTTTGAAGGAAATTTCTTGTGGTGGAGGGGAAGAAGATGGAGGAAAACACAAACGAGAAGATAGAAAAATTTAACCACGAGCCGCGACCTCTTCCAACGACTGGTGGGGCTTGCGATTTGCTCCCCTTGAGCTCTCTCCCTTCTCAAGCTCTCATGCAAAAAGAAGTGGAACCAAAACACAAATTTTCATTCAAATATTCATTGACCTTTTACAAAGCATGAGATCACTATATATAGGTCTTAAACATAAAGAAATGAAAAGTACTCAAATGCCCTCTGGGCTATAATAAGACAACACTCCCCATAGGGGTAAACTAGGAAATGGGAATGCAAACTAAATAAAATATAAAATACATCAAAAGTAAAGACTCTGAATCGTAGCCGTCGATCTGCGCTGTCTCCGGCGATACACATGCTTGAACCTCTGATCGATGTCCACATCATCAGGCTTGCGAAAGGAGTGATAATAGGTTTTAGATCTTCTGTCCTCAACCATTTCTGAGACTTCTTATCATAATAAATATCTTTGGTAATTTAATATATTATCTTTCATGAAATGAACTATATTCTTATCCAAAGGATTTTTTTAATAGCTCATATAGCCTTCATAGCAAAATCCTCTAAAACTTCCTACTCCAATTTATTTATAATGCTACCTCTTAGAACAAGCATGTATCACAACCATGCCGTCCATTAGCTACTCACATCTTTACCCTTCTAGGGTTATAGAACTATTTACAGTTTACGGTGATATCCATACCCTTATAGAACTATTTCCATTTATTTCAGTTGCCACTTTCCTTTCCCTTTCCTAGCATGCATACAGCAACTTTGCCTTTGCATCTTTATCATAACCAACTCTGATTTTTTTTGTTAATATTTTGCACTATTTCCAATTATTTTAGTTTTCTTGGTGAACTATGTGAGCAAGTTCAAGTTTGTAATAATTAACCCCTATGATATAAAGGATCTACAAATGCAAATTTATTGGTATGCTGTACCTGTTTTCATTACTCTTGTTTTTTCAGGCCACAGGAATACGCTCTATGATTTTTCATCCTGATGGAAAAACTCTATTTTGTGCATTGGATGAAGTTTTAAAGGTGTAATTTTCATCATTTGTTTATAAGAGTTACTATGTAGTCTATACATGTCTTCATCTTGTTTGCAATGATGATAGGTTTTATCTTGGGAGCCTATAATATGTCATGATGCTGTTCAAATGGGCTGGTCTTCCTTGGCTGATCTTACTATTTATGAAGGAAAGCTTTTGGGATGCTCTCATCATCAAAGTCGTGTTGGAGTTTGGATTGCAGATATATCGGTAATTGCCCATAGTTTAAGTTTCAGGTTAGTTTGTTTTGTAAATTATGTGTGAGAATAATTAGCTTTTTGCATTACAGCTTATTGGACCATATGCAATTGGTCTTGGGCTTAATAAAAATAGCCTAATGGAACCTATTTCAAGTCATATGGAAAATTCATCTAATGAGCTTACAGGAAGCGGCACAAAATGCAATTCACCGCTGGTTACAGGAGCTGTGGGTTATGCGGTTAAACCAAAAGGGGAACTAGGAAGCATGCCAGTCGGTTGTAAGTATCTTGTCTACATCATTATGTGTTGAAAAAATTTTGATCTGAAGTGTTGATTCCTTTTTGGTTTCCTTTTTGTGTATGTGGGAGAAAGCTAATGAATGCAGTCAAAGTCCACAAGAAACTGATTCCATCTACTCGGCAAGAGTTTCATTGACTTCAAATGGACTGAAATCAAGAACCTCTGCAGTCAATCAAATTGCTAAAAAAAAACTTGATTCACAATTTTTATCATCCACATTGAATTCTACCCCATTCAGGGCTGCTAAGGTGGCTGAAACTTCCGCTAGAATTCCAAAGCGAAGTATGCCAATTGTTTCTTCAAGGGAGATATCGCCAAGCACAAATTCTTCAATATTGCCAAACGGTCATATTATGGAGTTGCATTCTGTAAAAAAACCTCAAGAACTTGCCATACCTGTCATTGTTCCTAGGAACCATGTACACCGTGAAACAAAAGATGGTCCTAGAGATTCATTGGCTTGTGAAGTAATATATGGTAGTCCAAGCCATGTTGGTAAATCATCGTGTGAAAGTGGCTGTCAATCTCAATCAGTTGGGATGTCTTTTGGTTCTTCAGGTAGCATCACCAGCGATCTAAAGCGTGGAAATTATAGTTTAAAATCCAGTCAAGTTGGAACCGCCGAAACACCAGCAGCTGGTGATGGTAATTGTTCAAGTATCGGATATGTTGCAGAGAAATTTGAAAGAAGCATGTCACTTGAGCAGCCTGGCACAGTGCAAACAGACCAAAGTATTATTTCTATATCTTCCTTATTACTTAGTAGTTGCTTTTTGCTTCTCTTCTGATCTTAATTCTAGCTTGGCTGGTGTTTCATTTAAATAAGATTCACTTCTTTAGGATATTCTTTTTAATAGTGCAAGCATCAATTTGTTAACCTTTTACGTTTCCCTGTTCAATATTGACTGTTACATTTTGCTTGAAATGGCAATTCTTCAGGTGAAGAGTCGGTATGTTCTAGCAATGACAACTGCTCAGTTAAATATGTTAGGGGAGGTATGTTGACCATTTTAAATGACTCGACAGTTGGTTTCTTATATTTACATGTTAGTTTCTTGTTTAGATTTGACAATCTTTTAATTTCTTTTGCAGTTGCTGTCCAACTTGGGAAGACACGGTCTCTAGTTGAAAGATTTGAGAGAAGAGAAAGTTTTGGTCATTCAGCTACAGATGGTTCTTCCTTTGAAACTGTTAGTATTATAAATTGTCATCCTTTTTGTGCGATACTCAAGAAAAACTTGTTTTATGTTCAGCTTCTTGTCCATTGTTTTATTGACTTCCTTTCTATTGTACAGTTATTTTTGAATATGGATATGTTTGGCCTTTTTTTTAATCTCATGGCGGCTTGTTTAAGTTGATAATATAATGTTGCTTTTTTTTTCTTTTGACCAGAAAGGACCCGTTCTGGACTCAGTAAGGAACAAGCAATTTGATGATGATAATTTGATTTGTAATCTCCTGTCACAAAACCATGATGTATTTATAAATTCTTTGAAGTCTCGCCTCACAAAGCTCGAGGTAAAAGAAAACTACTTGAGCTAATGCTAACTATTGTTTGTTTGTTTTAGTGAAATGAATGATGCGTATATGTCATGCAGTGGAAATAAAAGAAGTGTTGACTTAACTTTGAAATATTACTAAGATTTCTATGTATGAGTTTATGATCCAATCCACTCTTTACTTTCTTTGATTTGTGCCTTCTTCATCTATCTCTATCTTTGATTGGATGCAGCACACGCTCACTATCTTTGAAATAGCGCCTATAAATTTATATTGGAAAATGATTTTTTTATCTTCTCGTAACTTTCTGACATAGCAAAACATACAAACAATTCAAAAATTTTGTTAAAGAAAGTGTTGTCAAGTTGTTATCGTTGTGAGTACTCAAATGTCTTTAATTTAGTTGTATTTCTTAATTTACAGTTCTAGGGGCCGCCCTAATGCTTATGTATTACTCTCTTGGGAAACTGGTCTTCTTACATTAATTCTTTTCAGTTTACTATAAATTACAGAATCATTAGTTCACTTTGTAGGCTGTGCGGCATTTTTGGGAATACAATGGTATTAAAGCAGCAGTCGATGCTGTTGTGAAATTACCTGACCATTCGGTAAGTTATTTATTATTCTTATGGTTCTATTGATTTGACTTTTTTATTTTCAAACGAGCTTTAATTTAAAACAGAAAAAAAAACTTATCCAATTTAGAACCTTGAGATCCATAGCATATTATATCCTTATTATATGGAATAAGAAAATCTGGAGCTCTGCTATAATAGCTCAAATATGCTTTAATGGCATATGGGTGTAGGAAATTCACCAAGCAATATTTTATGAACATTCATTCCGTAAATAAATATTAAATCATCTTTTCTTTTAAGAATAATAATAAACAACACTTTACATTCACTATAAAATATCAATCAGAAAATAAAATGATATTTCCCAAACAGGAAGATGAGAAAGAAGTGATTTGGCCTTCAATCAGAATATACAGGTGGAGGAGAACATAAAAGTTGGAGCCACAAACTTGTAGTAATAATGATGAAAAACCTAGAGAAGAAGAGTGAGCCGAATGTTATGATTTGCTACTCTTTATAAACAGAAAAAAAAAAAAAAGTTAGAAGTGTAAATCCTAATAGGTTTTCTTCCTCTTAACATATGTATGGTACATCATATTGCTAAAATAATGTAAAGAAAATTTGTGAAGCAAATTCTCAAATTGCTTGAAATATAAGTGGTGCTCGCTAGGCACTGATAGGAAATACTTGAATATTTCAAGTAAACCGGAAACAACGAAACAAAGATACAATTGATCCTTAATTCGAGAGGATGATTGTCTCTCTCAATCTCTAGATGAGTCTAGAGCCCAAGAGATCAAGAAGAACCCTCACAAGAACACGATAATCAAACATAATCCTAACCCTAATCTCCATCCCATACTTAAGGCATACAATTAAAATAATAAATAAAAAGACCTAAAGGCCCTTGCTGCCCTCTCCTTTGGCTTCAATTTTGAATTTGACATCTAAGTGGACTCCACCCCTTCTCTCTCTCTCTCTTCCTCTTGCCACCGCCCCCTTAGATGTGAAGTGACTCCTTAGAAGGGGCCAGCTGAACCGGTCTACTAGGGGCCGGTCGAACAGGCACCTAACACCTAGCCAAGAGCTGCTGCTGATGACCTGCTTAATATGATTTGCAGGTTCAAGTTGATTTGGTTAGTGTCCTCAGAGGAAAAATTGACCTGTTCACTCTTGATCTCTTTTGTTGCTTGCTTCCTTTGCTTCATGGCTTGGTAAACAGCAAAACTGAAAGGTATAGCAGGAAGAAAATTAATTTCAAAATAAGTAGTAGTAGTAGTGTATTTTATAAGTATTTATTCCCTTGCAGATTTCTTATACTTTTAATAGAACAGGCATATCATTGTGGCCCTGGAAATGCTCTTGGAGCTTGTTAAAGTCTTCGGTCCCTTAGTTTGGTCAACCATTTCAGCAGCTTCGTTTGTTGGAGTTGATCTTCATGCTGAAGAAAGGTATCTTCTTGTTAATCTCATTCCTCTCTTTGCGGATAGCAATAACTTTGCATGTTAAGCACAGGTTTCAGCGAAGCAAACAATGCCATCACCATTTGCAGAGAATAAATCAAATTCTTCCATCAGTAATCAAGTAAGAAAATTTCATCCAAGTAGATTTCTATTTTTTAGTTGAGTGGGTAATAATATTTAGATTTTTCCAAGTTATTCTTGGATTTTTCCAAGTTATTCAGATAACTAGTTTAGTTGAGTGGGTAATAATATATATAGTGCATATTTCTTCTCGCTGAAAATTCTGTCAATTTGCCTGTCATAGATCCATTTGTACTGCCAAACTGGAGCATTTCAGGCCCACAATTTTATTATCATAATTCAAATTGTTCCAGTTTTGTTCCTTTATGCTTGATTTCAACCACTTTCTTATATTTAGATTTGACTACTAATTCCAGCAATCGAACCAGGGAGTGGCTGTGTGTGGGTCTGGAGAAATTATTCTGTGCGGACACCGAACCGTCCAGAGGTAAATCAAAATACGTCACATTACTAGGTATACAACTGCAGTACACAACAAATGAGTGACATGGCGCATTTTGATTCGCCTCCGGACAACGTCCGCATCCGTACAGAATAATTTCATCTTTTGTAGTCATGAAAGTTTGACCTTTAAATTTTACTGTAACTTTACATTATAGAAATTTTGGTTCCCTCTCTTTTGAAATTCTTATTCCGCTGAGCATTCTGGATATCTTGCATTGTTGATTTCTGCAACTCATTTTACTCTACAGGAGAGGAGGCTTACTTGCAAAGCATGCAGAGGAATTGAATTTGTTTCTCCAGACCTTATAAAACCCTTCGATCAGTAACTTCTGAAACCATCCAAACCTCTTTGATTAGAAAAGAAAATTCCTAATTTCGAAATTTTCTAGGCTTCCTGTTTGAAGATTTTCCATGATTCATGGATCCAAAGTCTTTCAAGATATATTTTCTTCAAACAGGTATGACCATGAAGCTTAACCTTTTTGCATGAATGAAATTCTTGGTGCTGATCTACTTGTATAGTACTGTAAATTTTGATAACTGTTCAATCATAGTGTAGTTTTGGGCTTTTTGAAACAATAGCACTGTTCTTAGATCATTTCCTGTGTTCTGATTGTTGACTTTGCAGATAGCCATTACGTTTTGCAAAGTATTTTTCTATAGCTTTTTATAGTTAATTAGGGGAAAAAAAATCATATCAGGAGTTTCTCACACAAAAAAAGGCTATCAGGACTGCTGGATATTTAATGCCGGTGTCAATATTTGACGTGACCCGAAAATCCGATTCGAATCCAATCTGAAAATTTGGGGTTTACGGTCGGGCTAGGGATTTCGACCCGTTTGTAAAATCAGGACAGATTTGGGTTAACCCGAAAATCTTAAATTAACCTTATATGACTTGTTTTTAATTGATTTATGAGGGTTTTAAAAGATTGTTATGAAATAAGTAAAAGCTAATTCCGAAGTGTCAGGACATTTCTGGGTTGAATCCGAACCCGATTGGTGATCCGATTTTGACAGCTTTTTATTTAACAAAAATAGCATTATAGGATAATCTTTTCATTGTTAAATATTTATTATAATTTATTATATTTTTAGCATACTAACATATAATTTTCTTCAATATACCTATTTTTTTCTTCTTTCATTTATCTTAGTTGGATTTGTGTCTCAGACGATTGGAAACAATTGGGGTATAGCTTAAATCACATTTCTTTTGTACATTGATTATGAAACATAAATCCAATTAAGTTGTAATTCAGACATTTAATTGATGAGATCATTTGTTTAAAATATTAATATAAAATATATTAAATCTCAATATTTTAAGTAAATTAATTAAAATGCTGAAATTTTCTTTTTTTTTTTAATAAATACCTTCTTCTATGCTATTATTTTATTATAATAATTAATTAAATAAATTTTCTTCAGGATACTTTTAAAATACTTGCATCTTTAAAATAAAGAGTACTTGAAATGCTAAACCATTTAGAAAAGGGAAATTTACATACATATCATTTTATAACATTTTATTTACATATCTAACACCCAAAATTTTAATATTACACACATACCACCCTATATTATTTTAATATCAAATATACCACTTATATTTTTTTCCTATCACTCAAAATATTTCATTTATATCACTCATATTTGATATGAAAATGAACCATGACTGGTATGTATATAATATTAAAATTTTAGGTGTTAAATATATAAATAGAATAGTATTAAATTTTGTCATTGGCGACAAGAGGATTTAAACAAGGCAACATGAAAAGTTAGCGTGTACGATGTGGAGCTTTTGTGCGTATTTAAGCAGATCATGAGATCATCATCAATGAGAGGGCTCGTGGGAGGCTGTTGGTCAAAGAATCTGGAGGAATCAAGAACGAGCAAGGCTAGTGCAACATCGAGGAACTCGTGCATGTATAGAGAAATTATTATGTACAGACACTAGATATAGTTGTATCTTAAGGTGAATCAAAGCATGCCACATCACTCGATAGGTACACAATCACAATACACAATCACAATACACAATCAATAAGGAGGTGACATCGTGCTCTAATTTTTCTCCGGACAACGTTTGATGTCCGCACAGAATAATTAACATCGGGACCAGAGGGAGTTCGACAATAATAGAAAATGAAAGCACTCAAGGGAGTATGGCTAAATACTTGAAAATTGGTTAATTTGGTCCACTACCAAATTAGGAAAAAAAAAAAATGAAAGTAAACATAATTCAATATTATCCCAATGCTTCCAAATAAATCCCCTATAATTTTCCTTTCATAATAAATAAGCATGCTTTAAGCCAACTCTAATCCATAAAATTAGGCTCAAACTCAAACTTAATTAATTAATTAAAATTTAAGCTCAAATTAGAGATAAAAACACCAACAATAACAATATTAAATTTTTATCCTACTATGTAACATCAGCTTAGGAGTGTCAATTTCGGGTCACGGGTCGGGTTCGGGTCGAACCCGAAGCTGACCCGACACTATTCGGGTCAACCCGAACCCGACCCGTTTTTAAAAACGGGTCGGTTTCCTTGACCCGAACCCGACCCGCTTCGGGTCCGGGTCAACCCGACCCGACCCGAATGACCCGTTTTCAACCAAAAAATTGCTAATTTTCGGGTCAAAACGGGTCAATCTCCTCTTTTCGGGTCAAAATCAGGTCTAAGTCGGGTCAATCTCGGGTTAGCGGGTCAAAATCGGGTTTTCGGGTCAAAATCGGGTCACTTTCGGGTCAATTTCGGGTCAAAGGGTTAACCCGAACCCGACCCGATTTTTGAAACGGGTCGAAATGTTGAACCCGAACCCGACCCGTTTCGGGTTCGGGTTGACCCTAACCCGAAATTTTCGGGTCGGGTTTTCGTGTCGTGTCAAATATTGACACCCCTACATCAGCTACATGAATTATTTTTCCCCATTGTGTCTTAAATTCAAAACATGAACAAAAATCTAAATACCACACAAAAAGGCAGTCAAATAAGAAATTATATCAACTGAAATGCAGGGCAGAGAAGCAAAAGGGAACTCAAAATCAATGCATTAAAAAAGCATAAAAATAAATTCCAGAGTAGATAACAGAGCAGGTCCAACGAGGCTTTCTGCTTATGATTTTATTTCTGGGCATTACCAAACTAGAAATAAAATTTGAACGGCCTCAGAGATTTACTGTGGCGATGGCGCAGCAGCAGCCTAGAAAATATACAAAAGGAAAAATATTATTTATTCACAAATTAAAAAAGAAAACAGAGAAAATGGTGGCAGCTACATACGTCGAATGCCTGTCTGGAGACCAATCAGAATGCGTCACATCATCCTGTGCTGGATACCATGGCTCGGTGCCGCTTACATGACACATTCTGATTGGTCTCCGAACGGCGTTCTTTCTGGGTCCGGTCTCCACACAGAATAATTTTTCGCAACGATGGGCTAGAAAGTTGTTTTGTCGATGTAGTATGCAGGTTCCGCTTGGGAAAACTTTTAGAAAGCTTTCTAAAGCAACTTTATAGCACAATTTTTTTTTTAATTTCCCTAATGCAACATGATGTCCTTTGTCCAATCAAGCAAAGCCAACTTGAAGTATAGAACGAGAATGGAGAAAAAAACCAAGACTTGAAAATATGCTAGTATAGTGTATACAGAGGTCAAGAAGGAAAAAGTACCTCGTCTTTCTTGCCGCCAGAAAAAAACTTGTATCCTCCATAGAATATTAAACCCCAGCCACTTAAGCTGGCAAGCACAAGCTGCAGGAGAATTTTTCGTCACGCGAATAATCAGTGTAATAATAATTAACCACGAGGAACAATCTACTGATGCAGAATTGTTCAAGAAAAATTTTTTATATAGAAATTCTTTGAAAGAACAAAATTATGGAGTGTATGATAAAATGATTAAAAAAATTAAATTCAGTTTGAAGAAGATGTATAAAGATTAAACTTTTGATCCTTCTAAGATAACTATTAAATCTGAAAGGTTGTAAGAGATAATAATGGAGTTCAAATAACAAATCTATCCGCTGAAATACCAGAACAAATGTCATTAAAAAATTGATCAGAAAACATTTTTGCATCGGCTATGAAGAACGAAGGAGATGTTCCAAAATATGATGATCATAAGGGAATGAAATTTTAAGTGAATGAAAATATGGAGGTAAATAGCACTTAGGCATATACAAATGAAATCAATATTGGAGAATTACTTCAATTTTATGCTAATGCCAATAAGATGTATCATGGCGACAAAATTTACACAATGATAAATAAATGGAAAAGTTTAGAGAGCAATTAAAGGGCCTTCATAGGGATTAATTATTCTGTGCGGACACCGAACGGAGAGAACTGTCCGGATTTGTTGTACTTTAGCTGCTCTTTTGTTGCGCTTTTATAAAAGGACAACAAGTATATAATAATTACTAAATAATTGAATATTTGATGCGTCTTTGTTGTGCTTTTGCAAAAGGACAGCAAAACTACAATAAAAATACATTCATAATTGAATAATTGCTGCTCTTTTGCAAAAGCGCTGCAAATCCAGACGATTCTCTCCGTTCGGTGTCCACACAAAATAATTTCTCCTTCATAGGATCCTTCCTTATCTTGGCGAGGAAATCATTAAATTCCAAAAGATTTCGTTTGGTGGGTAATAAGAAAAGAAAATAATGATTTAAACAAATTTCACTTGTTAAATATACAAATGAAGGAATGATCACAAGATCAGAAACATTTGACTATTTGAGGGATCAAAAGAGTCATTAATCATAATAAGTTGCATTAAGGATAAATATTTTGCATATTTTTGGATTGGTTGTGATTTTATTTACTAAAGTATTAAATGAAGCAGTTACCTTGAATTGTGTTATTTTACGAATGACATAATTTTAATACGTCTGACTCTTTCAAGAGTGAAATGTTACAACAATAAAAAGAATTCAAGAAGTTTAGGGGCTTAGAATGCGTAGAACAAAGATCAAACACATGATAAGCAATTTTACAAAGCATGCAACTAATAACTATCGATTATATTGCTGAAAAATTAAGTAATAGTTAGGATTGAGAGTTAGGTATCTAAAAGCTATTAATATGGATATAAAAGGAGACCATAACCTCTAGAGTTAAAGCTAGATGGCTAAAATGGAGAACTTTAGGAGTGCCCATCTAATAATAAAACATCTTGGAGATGCAATTCGTAGCATCCATTCGTGAATGTGATTCCCAAGATGTGTGTTTTTCTTTCTTGCAATTCAATGCTAAGCACTTCTTCGACTCAATGAGTTTAGACTAATATCTTCTGACTTAGGCTTCGTTTGGGACGGCTTTCTTTCTGCTTCTTAAAGCATCTTTTTAGTACAAAATTAAAAAGTTTTGTAATAGAAAGCTGCTTTAAGAAGCAGAAAGAAAGCCGTCCCAAACGAAGCATTAATGGAAAGTAGCATATGATATTGCTGCAATTGTGCATATCGATGTTGTCTTGCGGTCTTCTGTGGCGGTTGTGTCAATATGCTGTTGCTTGGGTTGTAAGAACGATATTTTACTAAGATGTTAAGCATCTGAAGTTGCACCTTCGGCCGCTGCTATAACCATTTAAGTTATTTAAGCTATATATTCTCCCTCTATTTGTGCTATCTATGTTGCTATTGAGGATGCACTAACCAATCCTACGTAAATTGATGTTGTTGTTTGGGTGATTGTATATACTTAGCTTTGTTCATACTGCTTCTCCTTTTGTTGGCATGTGGTCTGATGCAGTTGGCAGCAGCAGTCCAGCTGCTCAGGTGAAGCCCATGACCTTCTTTATCATCTATAGGAGAAGAGGCTTTGGGAGAAAACTCTTTGGGAAAGATGCAAGGAGAATTTATTAGGGGATTTGAGATGTTTAAGGGGAGAGATTATGGAGGGTTAGAGTTTTTGTGTAATATTTTGAATTTCTACAGCAGTTTTTTATGAGGTGTTTGGGTTCCTAGCAGCTGCTAAGAATTGTGGGAGAGACAACTCACCTCTCGGATAGTGAATCAACTTGTATCTTGTCTTGCTTTATTTGGAAATTAATAAAAACAGCTATATTTTTGTTATTTCTGGATCTATTTGGAGTAAATTGTTGTTTTTTTATATTGTTGTGTTGTTTTGAACATCAAGTCCTATCATGGCACTGATCCATTTTGAATGCTAAATAGAAAATTGAAACTAATACATAACATTCCTAAAAAATAAATTCATAAAAGCCTCTGATCCAAACCTTAAATGCCCTTTTATGATCCCCACTCCCAAATCCCATCCCATCTCTTTCTTTCCTAAAATTTCTCAACAAACTTTTATTTGTTTCTATTCAAATCTTAAACTTATTAAAAAACCTCATCTAAACCAACTACTTAACAAATCAGCTCCAAATCAGACACTAACTAATTAGCCTTAATCCTTGCATCCACCCTTAACCACTCTTGGGCTCCATGCATCCTCTACTCCTCAAACGACACACCTCTAGTTAGCCACCATGAGTTATGATGGAACTTTCATTCATGATACAATTGATGGAAGACCAATTGAAATCAAGTCGATTACCTTTAACAGATCATATTTCAAAAACTTCACTTGTATAGTTGTATATCAAAGAATTGAACAAGATACTCACAAACAATGATAGCAGGGTGTCCATATATAAAGGATCAAGTCTAAGGCTGCATTTGGGACGGCTTTCTTATTGCTTCTTAAAGCTGCTTTCTAGTAAAAAATTAAAAATTTTGTATTAAAAAACTACTTTAAGAAGCAGTAAGAAAGATGTCCCAAACGAAGCCTAAATTCTATTAGAAAAGCAAGTCATGTTATTGTAAAACATTATAGTCAAAGATGAAATGAAATGATGTGCTATACTGTAGAATGTTTTCAAGGCCACTTTCACAAAACAAATAGAATACATGTCTAACATAGAGAAGTAAAAGACCTAGAAATATTGATCATGGCAACTGTTGATGAGAGGTTAGGATTGATTTTGAAATGGGTTGCAAGTCCCTGATAAGGAGAATTCACCAATGAATCTTTTGAATATTTCTGGAGCCATTCTAGAATCAGAATCTATGATATTAATTAAAAAAAACACAAATTGTATTAATCGGAATGACAATTTTTATACGATAATATGTTTGAAAATCAAATTTTCAATGGAGATCAAAATAACATTTTCTAAAATAAATTTCGTCGAACCAAAAAAAGAAGAAGAAGAATTTGTGATGCAGGTTTGGAGAGAAAAACATGTATACATTTACAGGTTAGATGAATTTTAGAATTTAAAATGGTGAGTACAAAATAAATCAGTTTCAGGGTAATGAAAGGTCTGGAAGACGAATTTTTGGAAGATCACAAATAAGGTTTTAGAGCTCACATTTTGAGAAGAAAAGGAAAAAACATGATGAAAGGACCTAATCATAAATGAAAACAAAATAGAAAGATTAACAAATTCTAAACTAGGTATGAAGATGGATCGATGAAATTTGAAGCGAATGAGATTATTTGTACTTCTAAAAAAGTAGATTTGAAAGAGAAGATATAAGCATTGGAGTTCCGTAGCAATGTGTTGAACAGAGACCCGAGCTGGAGTCGAGTGAGGCTCAAGAAAAACATGCAAAGGAAATGAGTGGGTGAGACCATGTGAGTGCAAAAACTTTAAATCTAGAGTAATAAACATAAGATAGACTTGTTATTCCAAAATGAAGTCTACATGCTTGCTTATGAGTAGCTTTGGCTTCAACTTTCACCCCAAGAAGTTATGTCTTCTACTTTGGCTTCCACCCTAAGGGGTGTTGAAGCCTCAACTTCGACTTTCATCGTAAAGCATGATATGTAATCAGCTTTGCTTCCCCACAAAAGGGTTATACTTAATCATCTTTGACTTTCATCCTAAGGGTTTATGCTTCCTATACTTTAGCTTCCACATGATAACACGTAGCGAGCTTTGATTTTCACCCTATGCAGTGATATGCGATAAGCCTTGGCTTCCACTGAAAAAAGTGACATTTCATATGCTTCAAGTTTTCACCCTAAGGGGAATATTTAATTTACTCCATCTTCTACAATAAAGGGCGACATTGCATCTAACCCTGCTTCTACCTCAAGGGAGATAAAGTCTTTTACTTCAACTTACATCCCAATCGATGATATAACTCATATTTGTTTCTACACAAGGACTGACATGAAACCTTCCATGAACTACCTCAAGAGGTGATACAAGAACAATGACATTGAAATACATACCAAAGCATTAGTGTACCCTAAGAGATACTAATCTCAAACCCAAAAGGCATATCTTTTACCATCATGAATGATAATCATGAGCTATTACATTCCACCAATCGATTCTCAAGAGAGTGCCTTCGATGAAATAACATATAGTTGCTAACAAGATGTCTTAACAATCACAACTACTGGTCAATCAGTCATGGATCATGTCGCATCAAGCTTAATGGCACTATGCTAATGACCACAACAAGCATCTTGACCAATTGCCCAGTTTATAAACAAAGCTACTTAAAGTAAATTTGTTAAAGCCAAGACTCCTTAACTCTTTGGATTAGGGCCCACCTAATACATTGTGGATGATGAAACTATGAGATCTTAAAAATGCTTACCATCAATCTTCACACCCATAATCATGGAACACCATACAATAGGACATACATATTTGAGAACATTAAGTAATAAAGCAAGCCTTGCAATTTTTCTTCAATTCAGATTGCTCCAATAGGTAGAGGTATTAGATTTGGCTTCGCACCCAAGTAGGAGAGTAGATGTATTAGATTTGACTTATGTTAAGATAGATAGATGTAGACCTAAAAAGACTTGATTCGAAAATATTAGAAATGACATTTTTATTAGATTTAAATGTGAATTTGACCCTTAATAGGACACAATGGAGAAGAAAGATTCATGTAACCGACCCCACGTAGTGGGGTGAAGGCTTGATGTTGTTTTTGTTTGTTGTTGCTCATATTGCTCCAATAGGAAAGAAAAATTAACTATGAGCCTACGAGGGCCTACAAATTGAAAAAGTCTTGAATCCTAATATATAAATAAACCCTTGTCGCTTCATTAGAATGCTCATTAGAATGAATTTGGTTATATCGATCTACTTTATGAGAAGACTCCTCCGCTTTCCTCATCAGGAGCACAACTAAGCAAGATAATTCTTCGTCAGGAGCCGACAATCTCATTATGAGAAATAATATATAAATGAATTATATCGTAAATATGTTAAATAATGGTATCATTGCAAACCATATCATGATTAAGCATATGATTATCTTCTCCTCAGTGTGAACACAATTGAGAGGGCATTTTTTTTCATAGGAATAAATTATATCATTACGAAGAAAATATATAAATGAACCATATGCTGAGCATGACAGATAGCTACATCAATACAAATCATAACATGATTATCTAACTACCATAAATCCAAATATCATGTTATGTTGATCAATCTTATCTTGGTTATTCATATGCATCATACTCAAGTGTCAATGTCCGCCCACACACACCCCTCCGAAAGTGAACGATATATTTAATGCTTTGTTAGACAAGCTTATTGGTTTGATTGAATAGATGACCATATTCCACTCCACCAACCCCACTAACCTCTCCAATCTTACAAACTCCACTTTCCCACACTAACCAATCAATCCCATAAACTTCACAATCACATAGCATATTATACCCTCCAATTCCTAAAGTTCCATATACCCCATTACTCCCACCAATCTCATTACCTCCACAAATCTATGTTCATGTGAGTCTACTAGTGTCCAAGTTTATGTTTAATCTGAAAATCGAGCTTGAGCATATAAGGTCATGACCAAGCATGATACTGAGCAAGGGAAGCGCATGCTAATGATGTTGCTAACCTAGACCTCATTATGGAGATGCTTGATGTTTCCCAATTCCCCATGATGTTGCATGTTCCATTACCATTCCTATAGCTCAAGTTTCTATCACCACTACTTCCATCGCTATGCTACGATACAATCATTGCCCAACATGAAAAATCAAACCTACTTGTGTGATAAATGATGAAATTTGAATCTAAAGCCTACATATCCTGCTACATGCGTATAGACTATCAATATTGCTCAACAATGAGATATGCATTTCCTAATTCTTCGGATGAGAGATTTTTCAAACCCCGAGGAATAAATAAGACCATCACAAGTCATTGACACTTTTTGATCAAATTATAGGGAGCACCTTAGTTTTATGTTCACTTAATTTGATCTTGTTTCACATGTTAGTCTATTTTTTAATTAATCATGCGAACATTAGTTTTATATGAGCTTCCTTAGTTAAAGATGTGCACTTGTTTGGATAGAACCGAAAAATTCGACTGAACCGATCATATATGATTGGATTTGTTTAGTTGTTAAAGTATTGGTTTGGTTATTCATTGTTATTTTGATTTTATTTTATTTTTGGTTGTTGATTTGGCTTTTGCTTTAGTAAAATTGATCATATCAAAAAATAAATTATATTAATTTATACAAATATTAAATCCATAAAAATATATAAATAAACATGTGAAATTAAAAAAAACAACATGGATATTTTTTATTTCACATGCCAAAATTATAAAGTAACAAAGATAACTGAATATTCTTATGAATACATATTATTTAACTCAATCTCCATTTTAATTGCAAACAACACTCAATAATAAAGAATAAAAAAGTTTAAAAAAGACAAGAGCCAACACCAAATAGTTAGGATGAGGCTAAATGTAAAAATATAGATAGAAAATAATTTTCAATGATTAGAAAATAGGAGTATGACAAAATGGCAGTAAAGAGGCCAAATCTGAGTATGGTGCATGAAAAATAATTAATAATGAAAAAAATCATTGGAAAGATTGATTTTAGGAGCAAAAGAATATATCATTAAGTTTGGCATTCAGGCAAACAACATAATCAAATTCCATGTACCCAAATAACTAGATAAAAACTACAGCAGAATGTAAAACTCACATGCTCTTCCTTCCATTTAGATGGGCTAAGAGGATCATCCCAAAGGTTGATTCTTGGTGGACCATGATGATCTGTGAAAAAAAATGACATCAACAAAATTATGAGTTTTAAAAACTAGAGCATCCATAAGAACTTAAAATGTCTACACAGTAGAAATACTAGATATGGATGAACTCACCCTCCTTTTCAAGAAAACAAAATTTCTTTCAGGATATCATGGTTGAAATTGGGTCATGATGAATCTCAAATACATTGAATTTGCTCTAAGATGAGTGCAATACATTGACAAACAATCAAAATGTGTTACACTCCTCTCAAAATAAATTCGTAGGCTTCGAGACCCATCATGAACAATTTTGAGGCATGAACTAAATAATTTAATTTTTCAATTATTACATCTAGCAAATTGAAGTTAAGACATCACCAAGCATTTTGATATTCTCAGCCAGTTCGACTAATTCTTCATAACTAGAATATCTTAAACACTATGCATAACTTTCTAGACCTCTGTCCCATCTGCATAAACCCTTTGAAAGCAAAGGAGAAAGGAGCAAACAGAAAAGAAAGTATTATGTCACGATAAAATCGTCCGCCTCCAATCACCATAAAGGCATAAACAATAGCTAAAATCAATTAAGAAAATAGTAACCGGTGTGAATTTCATGCTAATAGAACACGCAAGTATTGCGATGTCTGAAGACCTAATCCTCCATATCACTGATATCAAGACTCTTAAGCGAAATTCGGAAATAAAGCATAAGTTTAGAGAAAACATTACGAAGATCTCTTTAATCCGAGGCAATATATTGCTTCAATAACATCAAATTTCGTGAAATCTATTATATAATGGAGGGAAAAAAAACTGATCGAACACGACCTGTAGATCTCTCGGCGAGAGGGTAAGAATACGAGTAATGGAGATAGAGAGATAAGAGAGAGACCTCCGCCGGAAGAGAGAGACCGCCGTGGGATGAGCTTCGCTGGAAGAAGCGACGGAGAGGAGAAGCGCCGGAGCGAAGAAGCGAGGGCAGCCCGAGCAGCCATGATTCCTACAAGGGATTCTGTAGACGGTCTCGCTCGATTTGGGACTCTAAGCGGTATAAATAAGCGGGGGCTAAATTGTAAATCCCATTTTTACATATTTATCTAAGAGACCTTGCCATTTGCAATACTCACAAACAATGAGGGGAGAATGAAAAATAAAGGGAGGAAAATTAAAAATATATATAAATAAATAAATTTTTAGGAAAATAAGGGAAGTTGATGTCATAATTTATATAGATTTTAATGAGATGGCTCGTTAAAAAAAATAATGAGGTGATAGATAAGATTAGGGGTGTAAATATTTAACACGACACGAAAACTCGACTCGGAATATCGGGTTGGACCTAACCAGATTTCAAAAAAGGGTCGGGTTCGGGTTCTCGGATTTAACCCGTTTGAAAAAATGGGCAGGGTTCGGGTTAACTCGCGGGTTGGCGGGTTAACCCGGAAACCCGCTTAGAATGAGCTGCCCGAGGCTGCCCTGGCTCCCCGCGACTGTCCACGAGGCCGCCAATGCTGCCCGCGCCCTGCCCGCACACACGAGCCCGCCCCTGCCCCGCACGTGCCCGGCTACCCGCGGCTACCCGCGAGGGCCACCAATGTACCTGGGCTCTTGCTCGAAGGCCACCCGCGCTGCACAAATGCCTACTGGCGCTAGCGAGTTCCGCGGCTTTGCCCGCGCACTCGCCGCCTGCTGCCTCTCGTGCTCGCGTCGCCATCCGGTGCCCGCGCATCACGCTGCAGCCGCTTCTGAGTGCGGGTCCCATGTCGGGTCGGGTCAACCCGGCAAACCCGACGGGTCGGGTTCGGTCCTGAGTCCGCGAGTTTTTGACTGACTCGTTTTGCCCTTACGCTGGTCGGTGTTATAGGGTTGACACCGATTGAAATTCGGGTCAATTCCGGGTTCGACCCGAACCCGACCCATGACTTAAAATTGACGCCCCTAGATATCCTGGTTCATTTGAAACATTTAAAAAATATGGGTGAGAGGCCCATAAAAATTATCTATATATTAATTATTATTATTATTATCTATTATTTAATAAAAATTATCTTATTACGAACTCATTTATGGAATCAAATCTCGTTGTTGCGGTTTTAAATTTTAATTCTAAGTTTGTATCAATGCAGCCATCATTTTTGAAGAATTAGCAAATTAGAGATCAATTAAGGGCTGGCAAAACGACCGAGCGAGCCAGTATGTGGGTGTTCAATAGTTTGTGTTTGTTTTAACATTAGCTTGTTTTCATCAGTTTGGTTTTATGTTTGATTCGAGCTTTACATTATTTGTGTTGCATGTTTGGTTCGTTTAAATTTAAGGGTGTGTCCAACATGTTTGGATTCATGTTCGTTTATTTAAGTGCTATTAATCGAGCTTTAAACGAACTATGTTCGTACGAACATATCTCTTAAGACAATCTATTGAACAAAGCAACATTAAAATTTTTTCATGACATATCTAACAAACATGCTAACAAACATGGACAAATATGAAATATTTCTTGTTCATAGGGAAATGCAAATTTTCTAAATAAAAGCAGTTGTATATTTAAAAAATGAAAAATATGATTAATTTTATATGAAACATATGTTAATAATATTTTTATTACTTTAAAATTTTTATTAATAAAAAATAATTATATTAATTATGTGTATAATTAAAGTTTTTATATTTAATCGAACTTTTTATCGAGCTTGTTCATGAACATCAAAACTGATGTTGGTTTCCTGAACATAAAAACGAGCTGAATGCATATAGTGTTCAGCTTGTTTATTTTAAGAATCGAGTATTTAAAATAATTGTTCCAAGTTTGTTTGTTAGTTAATTAAAGACGATCACGAACGAGTTTTAATCGAACCGAACAACGAGTAGTTCGTCGAACGTTTGTTTCGCTGCAGCGCTAGTGCAATTCTTGGATGAAGGTTGTTGTTGTATTCTAAGTTTTTGGTTTGGGACAACTTATTATTGTTTTCTAAATAATATTTTTAGTTGACCAATAAAAAATTATACTAAAATTCTTTTTAAAAATGGTAGAAAGCCGTCCCAAATGAGTCTAAAGCTTCGTTCGGCGATAATTTTCGTACTGCTTTTTAAGTAATTTTTTAGGCATAAAATTTTACTGAAAAACTATGTATAAATCATTAAGAAAATTATCGCCAAAATAAAACGTGGATGAGACATCTATGCTTTGATGTATCACTCTTTCATCTCTCTCTCTCTCTCTCTCATGACTATTTTGAAACTTAGGAGTCCTACACGAGTCGTAATACATGCCTAATCAAAGTTAAGCTTGTTTAGTTGTAACTGAGCTTGAGCTTGAGTTCATTTACTAAGCTCAAGCTTGACTCATTAGAATTCTATAGGCTCGAGCTTTGACTCAATTGTTGCACTCGATTTCTTAATTTTAAAATTAAAAAATCAGTTTTTTTCCTAAATTTTTCTATATTAAACTTAATTATAGTCTATAATACTAATTTAATTAATTATTAATTAAATATATTTAAATTATTTAATAAAATTATGACGCGCATATGTTTTGCGTGTTGTTCTGCAAAGGTCAAATGCAATGGATGTGGATTAACGTTTTGCTAGTGATAAAAAAATAAAATAAAAATTAATTTGTTTCAGTCTTGTTGATAGAAGCATTTCTTTTTCAAGTAACTTACAGGAGTTTTAATAGTTATATTGAGATTATAATGGGTGAAAAATTAACGCTTCAGAGGAATACTCTGTTTGGGATGGCTTTTTTAACTGCTTCTTAAAGTTATTTTTCTAATGCAAAATTAATTTTTTTTTTTACTAAAAGTTCGCTTTAAGAATCAATAAGAAAACTGTCCCATACGAAGTCTATTGGCTTTGTTTGTGCGGCTTTTCTTTATTGCTTCTGTAAAAATAATTTTTTATAAATATTTTTACTAAAAAATTATTTTAAGAAAGCAGTAATTAAATCAAATTTCAAATAAAACCTTAGTATAAATTAAGATTATTATAAGTGATTGGCCCTCATGGCTAGAAAAGCTTAATTTTAATTTTTTATGAATTTCCTAGTCATTAAACTATTTTGAGATTAATATAATACCAAAGAAATTTTTTAATTTTTATTTAGATATTTTTTAAATTCAATTATTCTATTATAAGTAGATAAAAAGAAACTGGAAATGTAACCCCTATAAAGCTTCACACTCTTCTCTTTTTCAATTCAACCATTTTTGTGCCCTCCCTAACTACGATCATTTTGCCCTAAATTGAACGACTCTCTTCTCTTATTTAGATAATATTCATGTATCTCTTATTTAAAACATATTTTTAATATAAAAATTTATAAATTAAAAAATTTTTATATTAAAAAACAGTTTTTTTAAAGCAGCAAAAAAACCGTCTCAACAAGACCTTATTTAATGACAACAGTTTCATACAGCACAAGCAAACAATATTATTCTTTATAAATCTTATAATTCATAAAGGGGTCAATATTAAATCACAGTTAAATTAACTTATAGGATACGTAAATTCTTATCAAACTAGATAAGTAAATAGTGAGGCTTAAAAAATTGAAAAAAATGTTAGGTAACGAATAGTTTCTAGGCGCATTCTTTTAGAAGCGACCGCTGTAATGGACTGATAACATCAAAAATTGGAAAGGGGCCGCTACATCGTGCTGCGGTGTAGTTTTTAAATAGGGCAAGGATGATTCCACTCATCGACCGGATGTGGGCAAAAAGTCTGTTTGTAGAAAAGAATTATGGCTTATTAGTTTCATTTAAATTTTATCTTAATTCAAGTATAATAGAAGTATAAATATGCTATACATATTTTTTATTTTTAAAATTTTATTCATATGCATCATGTGCAAGTGCATTTATACTAGTATATATATAAGTCGTTTAGTTAAATTTAAATTAATTGTATTAAAATTGCTATTTTTAAATATATTATGATATACTTTAAATATATTAAATATTTTTAAAAAATTTATTTATTACGATAAAAATTTAAAATCTGATGTATTTTTAAATTTGCATAAGTCTTCGCTAAGTGTGCCGATTAAGCTGGATATCATCATTTATTGGGGCCATATTTTTTTATTCTTAATGCTTCCTAAGGGAATCTCCAACCGAAACTCTCATTTTTCACTGCAAAATGCAGTAAAATCAAAAAGTGCCGTGATTAATCTCTATTGGAACGCCATTTTGACCTGAAATCATCGTCGTTTCTTTTCCCGACTTTCTCAGACTGAGTTCGGTAGAGAGAAAGAAATGATGAAAGTGAACAATTCGACAGCAATATTGGCGTCGCACTATTCATCAGCGACTGAATGCCGGAAAAAATGGAGTTCGATTGCGACGTCTGAGGCTCTCCATTCGCCTGTTTGACGAATGGCTGGAGATGCTCTAAAGCACCTTTCTAATACAAAAATTAAAATTTTATTACTTAAAAGCTGTAAAAAAAACACATTTTTTTCATTAGCCAAAAACAGTTACTATAGCAGCTTTTGAGAAATTTGGATGATTCTCTCTACGTCGGAAGATCAGACCTAATAATTTTCCGCTCTCCACTGACCGCTTCTAACGTCGTTCACTTATAACGGCGAACGGAGAAAAAAACGTCCATCATGATGATAAAGAGAAGGAACCAACCTGCAACAAGAGGGTCAATCAGCATCGTCATCATCTATACACAAGGAGGAGGACTTTAATCGAAGGATCGGAGTAACCTACCTGTGAAGCGTAAGGTGCCGTGCTCTAGAAAATGATCGAGAAGTTTCCATGCGGCAATGGCGATCTGTTCTTGATATCGGGATCTGATACGGAGTCGAGATAATTGCTGAGAATGGAGGAGAAGAGGACCTTCAAGAAGAGACCTAGAAGATAACCCTTGATGTCGCCCTCTGTATTATCCATGGCGCCCCAAATTCCCATAGCTTTCTTCGCCTTCCTTAACCTCAACAATAGACCTCGAAGATCTTTGAGAAGTTTCCATGTGTTGCCGGCGATCTTGACCAGATCCGATACGGCAGCGCGAATATTGTTGAGAACAGAGGAGAAGAGGAT